CCCTAAAGTCTAAACCCTAAACCCACAAGTCCTTCAGGTAGCTCTGGCTCTCCCCCTCGTGGCAGCTCTCGACCATGGTCCACCAAGCATAGGCGGCCAGTAAGCCTGGGTTGCTCTTTGGGTTTTAAGGTTTAGGGTTTAGAATTTATAGGTTTAGGGTTTAGGGTTTAGGGTTTAGGGTTTAGGGTTTAGGGTTTAGGGTTAGGGTTTAGAATTTTAGAGGTTTAGGGTTTAGGGTATGGGGGCCTAAACCCTAAACCCTAAACCCAATGTTCTGAAGGAACTCCAGGGGGCTTCTTTAAGGGTTCCCTAAACCTAGACCCTGAGCTTCAAGGGGCTCCTTTAGGGGGTTCCTTAAACGGTTCCCTGAGCCCTAAACCCTAAACCCTAAACCCTAAACCCGAAACCCCTAAACCCCTGAAACGTTGGGGTGCTTTAAGGGGTCCCTTTACAGGTTCCCTAAACGGGCCTGCAAAGGATCCCTTTCTGGAGGGTGCTAGAGGGTTTTTTATAAGGGCATTTCTAAGGTTTCTATAAAGGTTTCTATTTAAAAAACAGTTAAGCTATGACAATAGGGAAAGCATAGTATGTACTAGATCTTCTATAAGGAAAGCGTAGTATTTACTGCATATGAAGCAGGGAACAGCACACTGTCTAAGAAAAATGCAGCTCAGGGTTGAAACCAAGAAGCCCCAGATGACTGCAAGTAAAAAAAAGGATGTTCGCCAGCCCGACAGCTCTGCAAGCAGTCCACCAGCACAGGGTGCAACAAGCATGCCACAGATGGACACCACCTGAAGTGGGCTTATGGTTCATGGTTTACACAGCGGATGCTTTCTACTTGTAACCATGTTTTGGGTTTGGGGGTATGCTATGGTGTGGATACATTCGGGGACTGTAAGTTAAGCGGATACACTCAGCAATTGTTGCGACCCCTAGGTGAAACCCGAAACCAGGGTCCCTTGCAGCATGTTTGGGGTCTGGGGTTCAGGATTTCAACAACCCCAAACCCATTATCCTGAACCCTACAGCATCAAACCCTGTGTTCTATTCTACTTGTCAGAGAATCTTCTAACTCACAACACCCCAGACAGTCCAGAAGAACTCAATTCCGCGTGGCCCTGAACTTGAGACAGGCCACGCATTTGCCACTCTCCACATTCCCGCCAGCAAGCCCCCTAGTGAAACGAAAAAGCACGGGATGCCCAGTCAACCCAAAAGCCTAAAACTCAGCACTGAACTCAACCCCAAAAACCCGAACCAAACCCCCCCTGAAACACCCTAAACTCGCAGAACTCCCTAAAGCCCAAACCTGCCTGCAGCACCGAAACGATCCCGAAGCGCTCTCTGGGATCTGCGAAGTAGTCGCGGACGATGGCGAAGAGCACAGGTTCCACCTTTCAGGCTTTGGGGGTTTAGGGGTTTGCGGCTTCGGAGACTAAGGCCCCTGTACCCTGCCTGGACCCTAAGAAACCGGCCTCTTTCGGGTTCCTTTTCCAGATATAAGTCCTTAAAAACGTAGGTTCTTTGGGGTTAGGGTAAATCCTCAACCCAAACCCTAAACCCCAAACCCTCCCCCAAAAAATTTAGTCTTCCGCATTTAAGCGGTTTGCCCGAGGTTTAAGGTCGAAGGCTTGTGGTTGCAACCTAAGGAACAGTATTATTTATATTCAGGATCTAGCTTTTATCTTTTTCTGTACGCCCCACCGATTCGCCGATTCCTTGAAGAACCCGTGCAGCAAAGAACCACTCAATGCGACCGGCGCATGCGCAGCAAAAGCCTGGGATTTTTGGTTTCGGACCTTGAAAAGGAAGGTATACTGCTACCGAAAGCATAGTACTAGTACTTCCTTTGCATCCGAATCATGGTACCTTCAAATTCCCGAAAAGCCCTTTAGCCCCCCTACAACCCTTAAGACAGCACGATTACGGTAATTGAACGTAAAGTTCCGGCTTCAGGCCCCCAAACCCTAAACGCTAAACCGCTTTCCTATCGGAAACTGAACATAAAGTGCCTCAACAAGGACTCCATATTATTCTATACAGGGAGCAGCCAGAATAGTTAGGTAATTAGAAAGGCCCCTATATTTTCTGTTGTGAGGCTGACTTCTGGGCAAGAAGCTTGCCAGACTCAGAAGGACGAGGCAGAAGAGCAGCACGGGTCGGCGCCCAATGCGGTCGGAGAGGCTGGCTGCTAGCAGTCCAAAGAGAGCCTTCACCTGGATCCGGGGTCGTGTTAAGGAATTTCATCTAAGTTACCACAACAAGGAAACCTTAAAAAACAAAGTTTCCAGAATAAGGAAACGCTGATATTTAGAGTTTAGGGCTTGGGGTTCAAGTTACCAGAATAAGGAAACTCTATTATTCAGAGTTTAGGGCTTAAAGTTGAAGTTGCCACAATAAGGAAGCCCTACTGTTGATGGACAAACTTCTGCATGACCCAAATATAGTATAGTACCATAAATCCCAAAGTTTAGGTATATAAAGTCGTGCAGGATTTTGTCCATCAACCGTCTGATGTAGTTTTTGTGGTAACTTAACTTAAGTTCCTTAACAAGAACCACGGGCTGCTTCCTGCCTGTCCTTTAAAAAGTTTAGGGCTTTGGTTTAGGGTTTAGGGTTTAGGGTTTAGGGTTTAGGGTTTAGGGTTTAGGGTTTAGGCAATGCTTCCCTTTTACAAACAGGAGCTATTGCGCGAGGTGCTCTTGAAGGCCCCATTAAAACCTGGATTGTGGCTCTGTTTAGATGTTTAGGACATTTAGGGTTTAGGGCTGTTCGTGTTTTGGGGCTAGAACTGCAAGGCACGATGTTCCTTCTTGAGAAAACAAAATCATGACCGAGATTGCATATGGGTGGTTGTCAAAATTATGGTCCCTTTTTGGGTCCTTATTATAATACGGCACCTATTATTTAGGGTACCCCAAAACGGACCATAATTGCGACAACTACCCATATGCAAAATCAATCTGATGAATGACCTAGCCACGATGAAATTCATCTGCACCGTGAGGCTCATAAGGCTTTGAGTGGCAGCCAGGTCGACTTTCATCTGTGGCAGGCTTGGCACGTACTGGTCTGTCGTAAAGTAGGTGAAGGTATAGATGATGCCCAGAAAGGCCTGGGCGATGCGGAACCCGGGAGCTTACAGCAGCTCACTGCTGACGAATCCCTAAACCAAAACCCTAAACCCTAAACCCAAAACCCTAAACCCTTAACCCTAAAGCCTAAACCCCACCCTCTATTAGACCCTAAATGCCCTTAATTTGGGACCATTTACCCCAATTTGAGGGTACTTGGAGGGTCCTGGCATATTCGGAACAGTCCTACGAAGAATCCTGGCGGTAGCAATAGCAATAACGGTTAACAAAAAGATTATGGTTTAGGGTTTAGGGTTAATAGCATTGACAACCACAAACTCAGGACCAGCAATGACACCAAAGAAGGGCTGATAAACCAAAGTAAACCTAATGGGAATGATTTTCGGCCTGGACACGATCCAGCTCGCGGGACAGGTTTTCTGCTCGCTCGCATCCTTCGGAGCCCGGCGGGGGAGGCCACAAATCAGCAGGCCAGCGCTCAGAAGTAAAAGGCAGGCGTAGGTCGCACTCACCAAATACCTCGATCAGGCCGGGCAAATCTCAAGTTTCTGAGCTATGCGACTTCGACCCACGTTCAAAAACCCTAAAACCTAAACCCTAAATCAAATGGAAACCAGGTAGCACCCTCAATTGGGAGGGATCTGATTCTTCTTCGGGGGTTCCTGTCTCAACTTGGTGCTTCAAGCGTGGACGTTTGAACGAATCTCTGAGCCTTTTCTAAACTTACGAGCTCCATCCGATAATGTTGGGGCCTTTGATAATTAGAGTAGGGTTTAGCCTCCTTTAACATATATTAAAAGTAGCCCTAAGAATAGTATGGGTAATTATTTAGGCTTCTACAGTAATCAAGTGGTTGCAGTTCAGGGGTTTGGGACTTAGGGTTTAGGGTGTAGGTTTCGGGCTCAACTTTTGCGGACTTCAGTTTCTGGTTCAGAGCCGTAGAGCAAACAAACTACTATACAATTATAATGGGGTTTTGGGGCCCCGTATATTATAGTTCTATCAAGGAACCCCCAAAATAGTATACAGTAGGACTAGTATAGGTAATTGAGAAGGCCCCTATAGTAATCAGAGGCTTCCGTGCGCCTGATGTTTGAACGTGCCAAGTTCTGAGTTGCGATGCGGTCGTCAAGAATCAAAGTAGTGTAGGGGCCTTGAATGGGCACCAAAACCCTATTCTAATTATTCAGGCCCCTAGTGGTTTCCCAGTTGGTTACTGCCGTAGGGACGAGACGATGTCCATCCTTTGGCAACGCAGGTGTGAAATTACATCTCTCCAATTGGGGTTCAAAGAAGCAGAATATTAAGATGTCTGCGTGAAGAACGCTTATAAGTGATAAAAACCTTGTCTCTAAGGACTTTAGGAGGGACCCCTAATAGGGACCCTTAATCCCATTACCTTAAATAACCATCGTATCGTCCTTATATACCCCGTATATAGCCAGGTAGTCTCCATATTAACCCCAATAACCCACAAGGGTCCCTATTAAGGGTCCCTCCTAAAGCCCTTAGATTGTAATTAGACCCTAAACCCTAAACCCTAAACCCTAAACCCTAAACCCTAAACCCCAAAACCCCAAAACCTAGACATGGAACCCCTTGCAGGAACCCCTCAGGAGCTCCTTCGTAGAACCCGTACAAGGCCCATGTAATATAGAGGCCTTAATGGTTAGAATAGGGTTTAGGGTTTGCCGTTACCTCTAAAGGTAGCGTAGTAGGGTTTAGGGTTTAGGGTTTAGGGTTTAGGGTTTAGGGTTCTGGGGCACATTGTACCAGAAGCATCGTAAGGAACCCCCAAAATTGTATAGGTAAGTATTTAGGCCCCCTATAGTAACGGGTTCCCAGGGTCAGTGTGGTTTGATTTCTTTCAGGGCTTGTCAAAAGTCGACAAGCGCAGCTGTGGTATTTTAATTTTGTGTGTAATCTAAATAATCAGGCCAATGCAGACTTGAATACCATACCAGAAGTTCCCGTCTATGCCTATACATAGCTGTCTCGATGAGAGCATCTTGTATGAAGGCCGCGAAAGGTGATAGACGAAGGAACACTACAAAGGCTACGCTGGCCTAGGGTGCCTGACGCATTTCAAATGGCTGAAGCTGGGAGCCTTTTGGCAGATGCTGTCTAGATCGTTCAAGTTGAGTTTCTACTCGGAAACCGTCCACTCGGCGCATGGGGGCTCTGTCTCTACGGGTCAAAACACGGTATCGTGCCGGGTCAAGATACGATAGAGGTCGGCATGCTCCAGCAATACGACCACTTTATCATCCTTACACCGCCCCGATTTATTATGGCTTACAGATCCTTTTCTGAACCCTAAAAGGTACCTTTCAAGGACACCTTTCTGCTACCTAGATAGTGTTGCATTGTGTTGCTTCAGCTTTGTGGGTCGAGGGTGGAGGCTACAAAGTACCCTAACCCCTAGACCCTGAAGATTTGAATCCCAATGTGCGGGCTCGAATGCTTAATGACACCACTACCCAGGGTTTAGGGTTTAGGGTTCCTTACGCTAGAAAAGCTAAAGCAGAATACACCCCAGGATCCTATTCCAACTATCCAGCCCCCCACCAAGAAAGGCCATTTGAGCCCTAATCCCCAAACCTGATATTGGAAACTTTAGGGTTTGCCTATAGTCTCCATTGTAGTTCCTTTTTTGGTTTAACCAATTATATATCTGGGATCCTAAAAGGTAACCCCCAAAAAAATAATACGGAGACTATAGGTGGTTTTTTAGGACTAGGGCCCAAGAGCTTCTGCCCAATGCGCAAAGGAGTTGACCGTGCCTGCCGCGGCGACTTCCCCGGCGACAATGCTGCGAGCTACTACCAGGCCGGTTGATGTAACAGCTTTTCAGGCGTTTAAGGGATAATGTAGCCCCCAATTGTTGCTTTAGAATCCTATTTACACGAACTCGTCGTGATGCACGCAAAGTCGTAAGACACCCCAACACGCTCCATATGGGAGTTTGGATGCCCTAACATAGACTTCTAAACAGTAGGATTCTCTATTTACGGACCCCCATAGCAGATCCCTAATTCTATATGTCATCTTGCACATGATGCGACATAACTGCAAGGCCCATCTGACAGCGTCGCAGCAGATTCAGCATGGTTGTAGCCTCGAAGGTTTGCATTTCCCTTTCGCCGGCTCGGGATGAGGCTGCTTTCGCGGGATTTGTGCGGATTTCATCTGTGTGTTATGAGAGGCTGGGAAAACCCTATAAGCCCTTATAAGGCCCTAAAGCCTAAATGTTTGTGGCGTTCCTTTTAAGGCCTTGGGATCTTCTCCTCGGACTTAGGCTTTGAAAGGGTCTAGAGTTCAGAAAGCTGGGTTGGGTGGCCAACGATGCCAGCAATGTAGCGGTTTGAATGTTTGGAATGATTAGTAAGTAATGTTATTCCGAGGCGCTCGCTCCCCCGAACTGCACTGGTCTATTTTGTTTATGCATCTACAGCCTTAGCCACTCTGCGTTACATCTGTGAGCCTGTCGACGCATTGAGGAACATTCGCGCTTTGCAGGACAAGCCTCGTATCTTTTCCAAGCTAGAAGCGCTGCATATTTCCAGAACTTTCCACGGACTTGAGAACATAAGGCCGCAATGACCCATCCAATCTTTGTATCCCTAGATGCAACTGTTGCCAAAACGCCATGTTTATGCGAAGCTGATGCTCCCTGTGTTGCGCACACTGCAGGTTGTAAGCAACCTGGCTTCCCTCCAGGCCTGCGAAGCTGAAAGGGTTGAGAGTTTGAGTCATGAGCCGTTGGGTTGCATGAGGTGTATGAGGGATACTGAGTAGAGTAACGCAGTCAAACGAGCCTCCAAGTAGAGGTTGCATCAATCACGTGGACTTAGACAAAAAGTTGGAACATAATTATGCTCATACCCTTCAGGTAAAGTATAAGGGATCCTAGCACTAATCCTCCTAAACCCGTGTTCCAACTTTCTGCGATTCGCTGTAGAGTAAGATTTGTGGGAAATATTGTAGAATCTTAGATTGTACTAGTGCACAAGGGACTGCAGAGGGAAACCAGTACTCTTAATCAGGCTTCCATGTCACACAGACAGAAAATCCTCATACCATGGTGTACACCCTGCCGCACAGGCTACACTTGTCACCGTAAATTTCAGCAGAACCTTCTTCCTCAGATCCCACACTGGCCGTTCGTGCTATAGGTTCTGCCTTTGGTATCGTGCAGTCTTCAGAACAATGCAGACAAAAGTCACAGGGTCTGCATGATAGCTGTAGCTGAACTAGGGCTCGAGTGGGACAGGGCTCCAACGGGAGAGCTAGGCTTCTTGATTTTACATCTGACATCTGAGAGGGCTTCTAAATGTAAGTCTACTTACTTGTGGGGTTTAACTTGTTCGAGGCGTGCCAGGAGCAGTGCGTGGCGACGGAAGGATGCACAGGAATTGAGTACCACGTGGCCTGGCGGTACCAAGAGAAGCATTTCTCCAGCTCAACAAGGGCTTTCATGTTTGCCTGAAAAAGTCACCCGAACCTTCGATGCATACTACCGATTTGTCGCTGTAAATATGAGCAGAGCAGTGTACACACTACAAACCCTTCAAGAAGCCGGGGGGGGAGCACTGCTTGGACCCCCTGAGCTGCCGTTACGACTGCCCCCTCGCACGGTTTTACCTCAAGCCTTAATCAAGTTATTATGAAGGAACTTCTATCATCTACTGGGCGAGGCAGACAGGGTTTGGGTATGACCTTCTGTACACTACTTCACTATACCTCCGAACCTTGGCTCAATATTAGACCCCATACATTCCCCCAAACACATCAAAACCCGACTCAGACTGGTAGCCCACGCCCTTGATTTAAGCACCTGTACTAGCGCACACCCCCAAACACGGCAAATCCGACTGTAGAACCCTTGTAAGAATCCGTACCGCATCCTTTAACCGAAACTCTTGTAGAACTCTGCACGAGCCCTTGTAAG